GAGGCTTGTCTGGCTGCGTGATTCGGAGCGGAAAGCCAGCTCCGATTTGAGCCCATCTGGGGCTAGTTGGGTCAGAGAATTAGACCCGGATTTGGCTGGGTCTTGCGATTCTAGTGTGGGCAGAGTCACATTGGGCTTTGTTGGGCCTAATTCAGGCGTAATAGGTTTAATAGGGATATTCGGCGTGAGTTCCAGCAAGATTTGGGCTGGGTTCCGAAATTCTAGCCGGATTTGGACTGGATGTCGTGATCTTGGCGCGATTGGGGCTGATTACCGCACAATTGGGGCTGTGCTTCGTGATTATGGTGCGATTGGGGCATATTCCGGCGAGCTAAGTGCAGGGTTCACCTTTCCAAGGCTCTCTATTTTTGGGTTAATTAGCACTGAGTTGGGTTCTTTGAAAGTTGCTGCTACCTTTGACGTTCCAAGGTTCACGTGCATTGAAATGGGAAGAAGATGGCATCATTCAAGTGCAATTACCTGATCAACACCTTGAGGACAAGGTGTCTTAGGGAGGGGAGTAATGATAGGATTATGTTAGTAATTAGTAATCAATATAATAAGTGGTTAGTGGTTTGTTATGTTTGTTAAGTAGTTAGTAGTTAGTTAGGCCTTGGGATTGGTGGGTGGATTAAGAGATCGTGAGTATAAATAGAACGGAGGTAGAATAAGGGAGGATTATTCAGTTTTGTGAAACTTCCAAGAGAAGATAGTTTAGGGAGAGCAAGGGATCTCTCGAATATCCCCATATCTCTTTTTGTAACCCAATTTCCGCCATTGATATTAATCAAAGCTTCCTGTTAGCATTTCTCTTTCCGATTTGTCATTTTCAATTGGTTGTTTGGATTGGAGCTTATCAAATTGGTATCAGAGCATGCTCTTCCTCAGGCCCACGTTGCAGAAGGGGCGACCTGGAAGGGCCAGAGTGGGCCATCCAGAGTGGGCCGCTGTGGACGTCGGTGTCGGAAGCGTGGTGGTATGTTAGGCTCCTGGTTGAGTCCCACATTGCTAAAATATGGGCTTAGCATGTGGGTTTATTACCACTTGGGCACCTTCTCCCTACAAGCTAGCTTTTAGGGATGAGTTCTACCCAAGGGTTATAACAGTATGCCATGGCTTTTTGCAGTGTTCGTACCTCGATTTCTTATACCCGTCGTTTTCCTCTGGATACAAGGGCCGAGCTTTCAGTCTCCAAGTTGGGGCTGGTTTCATTGCTGTGTAGCATTTTTCTCCTCCTTGCTTCTTCACGTCTGACTTCAGAAAACACTTCCCGAATGGAAGGCAGCGGTTTCCTACCAAGAATACAGCCTCAAGCTTCGTCCAAACTCCGATTAAGGCTGGCTAGAAACATGTTGACCCTGTCGCTTTCCTCTCTCTTCTTGTAACGAGCATAGTCATTGGGATTCTCTCAAACATCGTCATAGCACTGATCAAGCTCCTGCCACAACGTCACCAATTCGTTGTAATAAGTGGTGACATTTCGATCATTCTGCTTGGATTGCCAAAGTCGGGTTTTCAACTTGAATATTTGAGAGGGGTTTTCAAGGTCTGAGTAAAGATGACGAACGGCCTCCCACACATCTCGCGTAGTAGGAAGAAAAAGATGTGGTTTCCCAATAGTTGGCTCCATTGAATTTATGAGCCAAGCAGTAACAAGGGAGTTCTCAGACTGCCATTTTTTAAAGTGAGGATCTCCTGCAAAAGGTTTTGAAATCTCACCAGTCAAGTGCCCGATCTTGCCCCTGCCATCAATTGCCAATTTCACGGACTGAGCCCATTCGAGATAATTCTGCCCATTGAGTTTCGTGGCCGTGAGTTGCAGGTTAGAATTCTACGAATAAAATTCTGCAGGAACTGGTACGGAAGAATTTGCAGGAGTAGGGTGACTAGTTTCGAAAGAGCTTGAGGAGACTATAAATTTATTTTAGGTGCCAGTCATCCCTGTCTTGTATGACATCGTGAAGGAGAAAGAAAAGAGCACGGTGGCTCTGATACCATATAGGTTTAGGGAAGAAAAAGATAATATTTCTACTTGAATTACAAAGAATGATTACAGGAATAAATAGCAGAGGAATGCTCACAAAATCAGCAATTACAGCTCACACACAATCAGCAAATCCTTTGCTATAAACTAGGAAAGAAAACTACATGTATTTCTGATTTATTTGCAAAAATAAAATATCCTAGAATAGCTTAATTAACTCCTACAAATCCGACAGAAGTTCATAAGTTCACTTATAAATAAGACATGGTTAACTTGTATTATAACCATCATTACCAGCATAAGTATCAATCCCATGTTAAGTTATTCTGTAACTTCAGTCAAGATTTTATGATAACTCTAGTAAAAGGAGGAAGAATGGAATTTTTTTTTTTTTTGTGCAATACAAAGGATACCTAATTAGGCCAATCCGTCTTTTTGTTATGGATAAGGAATTAAATTTTCTAAAGATGTTACATTATATCCTTGTAGTCGTTGGTTAAATTTTGTATACCAAGAAGATAGGTTTAACCTCTATGTTACCTAGATGGAAGCTTAAGAGCTTGAATCCACTACTTTTCCCAAGTCATTTAAGGAGCCTTACGTCACAGTGGTCTCTGCAGCAGCGTGGTCGAAGGCACAAGCAGGAGGTTTTGCCTAGGAGACTTAGAGGCCGTTGGTTCATGAGCTCATCAAGTTTTGAACCCATGAGCTACTTTGAACTAATTTTTGGTTCAATGTTCTGGTCTAAAATACTTGAGTCTTATCTTCTAGTTTTGCATGCCTTATCTTGTATCGACCGTTAGATTGTTGCCACAAGTGCTGATCCAAGTTGTTCATTTAAGAGGCATTGGCCTATGAATAGGGGCCCCCTAATTTGTAGCATTCACAAGAAATCTGAGTTATTGTAAAGAATTCTCATAATAATAGAAGTTCTTTATCCTCCCATATTTCCTCCTTTGTTTCTCTTGTGCATTAGAGTTTGCTAGCCTTGAGTTTACTTAAGTGAGGCTGCTTAACATAGCATGAAAAGCTAAGGTCGTTTGTCTTCCCTGCGAGACGAAAATGTATGTGAAAATTGATATTAGAGCCACGTCGTATATGGTAACAAGGTGCTCCTAAAGGATTGGAGGGTGGATCCAGTCCTGCGCATGTGAGATTACGCAGGAGCGTGGCTGCAAGGAGCAATTCAACCCCATTACTCCAAAGCCGCACCGTAAGTCCAAAGATCTCGTTTCTAGTTTTGATTCACGTTTGCCTCTTGTGAAGGAAAGTGTGGGTGGCATGGGATCCTAGATGGACGACCTATACTAGAGGGTGAAGGCCTCAGAGGCGTCGAGATCCATAGTGCAATTTGGGCTATAGTGGTTTAACTAGAAGAGTCTCTGTGAGAGGTCGGAGAAGTGAAGACCAATTTGTTGGGGAATTGGCTAAGGTGTGTGAAGTTTTTCGGCTTGAGATTAACAACAGTTTGGCCCGACTCATTGACACGTGAGGCGATATAACGTGGTGCAAACGCACCATGGCAGTTGAGCTAAGTATAACTGTCGAAGCTCATAAGATTGAGGTGCCAAACTAGTGAGCTCTAGAAGTCATATAATGCTTGGGTAGTTGACAACTTCTTGTGGGGGCTATATGAATACTTTGGACTTGTAGGCATCATGGAGGAGGCCTCCAAGATCCAGTTTACAACTCTTTATATAAAAGATGTCACCATGCTATGATGGAGGAGAAGGCGAGGAGATATTGGGAAAATGGGTGCGCCATCTCCACATATGAATGATTGGTGCTTCCACCGATCCTTTATCAACACCTCGTTTCACCGGTGTGTGGACCAAGCTCTGATACTAACTGTCATGTACCTTTTTGTCTAACAAGGCCAGCTCTGATACTAACTATCACGTACCTTTTTGTCTAACAAGGCCAGCTTTGATACTAACTGTCATGTACCTTCTTGTCTAACAAGGCAACTTTGTGGCCTTACTAATGCTATTTAAGCGGCCTAACTCACACAAACTCAAGGCTAGCAACTCAAACAACGAGAGAAATAGGGAAGGAATTGGGAGAAAATGAAAGAACTTCTATTTACTATCAGAATTCTTTACTAGTGACCTCTGAATTCAAATTTCTAGAGAATGTTACAAATGAGTGGTCCCCTTTTTATAGGTCAAGGCCCCTTATATGAATGGCCTAAATCAAAACATGTGGTAGCGATCGAACGGGTGATACAAGATAAGGCACACAAAGCTAGAGGATAATACTTAGCCTAAATTATTCTTGGCCTACAAAAGTACTTAGCCAAGAAGTAAACTTAACGAAGAAGGAAAAGTCTTCTGAAAACCCTAAGTTTTCAAGGCCAAACCTTCGGCTTGTGCACTGCCGCCGAGTGTGGTGTGACAGTAAGCTACCAAGTTGTGTGGGCAAGCCGAGTGTGGTGTGACATTAAGCTACCAAGTTGTGTGGGCAAGTGGACAACGTAGTAACCAGCTCAAGAACTGGTTAACCAGTTGCGTAATGACCTAGCTAGTAAAGAAAATTGGTTGAGCGAAGTTGGATGATGGTCCAAAGATGGAGAACATGGAATCTACCACGTTGAGTGAGTTTCAGCAAAAGACTCCTATAAATAAGAGAGGGATGGGACTGAGCAACGCCCCAGACTTTTTCGTCTTGAGCATTTGCTCTGTCATGTTTTTACTTTTGTTAAGAGAACATGAAAAGAGAGTGAGTGTATATTCCTAGATATTCGAAGTTCAGCAACTATAGTAGACGTAGGCCTCCATGTGTCGAACCACTCTAATCCTTTGTGTCCTGTCTTATAATTTGATTTATGTTTTTGGTTTTTGCAATCATGTGATATTTTTTAATTAGAATTCAATATGAAACCCCTAAAATGCATTAACCAAGCTCTGATTGAAGATAAAGTGTTGCTTACGTCTAGTTTGAGCTTCTTCGCACGCATTTAGTGTCCATTCACTTCTTTCAAAGAAACTGAGAATAGCAATTTGCCTTTTGTTGACAGGTTATAATTCCTCCTGACGGCTATTTAAAATCTGTCAGAAATCTATGCTCAAAATACAATGTCTTAATGATTGCTGATGAAATTCAATCTGGCTTAGCACGATCAGGAAAGTTGTTGGCTTGTGATTGGGAAGAAGTTCGCCCAGACGTCGTGGTAAGCTTCCAATTTCCTTTTCAGTTTCTACTGACATTTGCATATATTAGCTGGTTCAATCACCAATTGAGTCCACTAATATGTTTCTGTAAGAAAAGAGACTTTTTTATTTATTTATTATAACTTTTTATTTTCAGATACTAGGAAAGGCATTGGGTGGAGGAGTGATACCTGTCAGCGCAGTTCTTGCAGACAAAGATGTAATGCTCTGTATCCGCCCTGGAGAGCACGGAAGGTTTGCAGTTTAACTATTTGGTTTGCATTGCCTGTTCCTTAATTAGATAAAGGAATTAAGTTACAGCTTCCATTTTTCATAACTTTTCTATATGTTTCTGGAATTCTTCCCCGGAATATGATTACTGTTTTATTATTGGGACTTTCTTTGGTACGCCAACATACCGGTAGGCCAAGTTTTTTGTCCGTCGGATCTGTATAAAATCACGTAAAAGTCAAAAAGTACATAGATCTAACGGTTAAAAAAGCTTGGCCTACTTGTATGTTAGGCGTACGAGAAAATTTCCCTTTATTCTTTCGCTCGTGATTTGCCTTTACTACAGTTTCTAGAAAGAATAATTATTGGCTGTTCAACTAGCACAACTGAATTCCAATGGAGAAACAAGAAACAAGAACCAAAGGAGTAGGAGAAAAAAAAAATCCTTAGGACAGAGAACTGATTTCTAGATTTTCTGTTCTAGGTGTATAGAACTGTAGAAGCAGGTGCCCGAGGAAAATCAGTAGCATGCAGACGGTCTAACCTTTTTACACATAATGGCCCCAACCCCAAACCAAACCGCTTAGTATCTCAAGTTTTTAAGTCTGCTGATGATGTAAAGGTTCTAGTCCACTTCCGCTTTTCAAAATTTGAAAAGCTGGCTTGATTGGGCTTTTCCCTCAAAGATTTATTTATTTATTTATTCTAAGTGTCTTGTGCTTGATATGTTTATGTTATAATTTACTTTTCCGTCCAATTTTGCATTTATGATGCAAGAGCTCACCTTGCTTTTATTTTTTTTATTTTTATATTTTTTTCCTTAGTACCTTTGGTGGGAATCCATTGGCGAGTGCAGTTGCCATTGCATCACTAGATGTAATCAGAGATGAGAAACTTGCTCACCGGTATCAAATTCATTGCTCAATGCTGCTTACCTAGATGGCATTTGAAGAAAAAAGAACATAGTTTGGATAAAATGCTTCGCGTTTTTTAAGTTTTTGAATTTGTGCATGCATATATAGTTATTTCATGCTTTATTTGTCTACAGATCTGCACAAATAGGACTGGAACTTGAGAATCAGCTACTAAAGATTCAACAACAATTTCCTGACTACATAAAGGAAGTTCGAGGAAGAGGCTTGTTCAGTGCCGTGGAGCTCAATAGTAAAAACTTGTTCCCCATTTCTGCCTATGATATCTGTCTCAAGTTGAAGGAAAGAGGAGTTCTTGCCAAGCCCACACATGATACTATTATCAGATTAACTCCTCCATTATCGATGAGGTATGGAACCATGCTTGTAATCGTTATTTTTTATCTTTTCCACGTGACAACCAACTGTTACTTTGCGTTGGAAATGTGCTTCCCACGCATGATTTTCTCATGCAGTAGTGAGAAAATAATTAATAAGAAGAACCTCCAATAGCGTGATGTATACTAACCCCTAAGATTATTGCTCTGTTGCATGTCACCAGAAAACAGGAAGATAATATTGACGTACATTGATTACATACAAACAATCCGTTGTGTTTTTCTGTGCACATCTCTTCTCATTGACTTATTTAAATAACTTTGACGTCAAATTTTTTCTCCTTGTATTGATCATAAGCTTTTTAGTTCTTTTCTCCACCAGCATTATCCTTTTTAGTTCTTTTCTCCATCAGCATTATCCTTTCTTCAAGTCCTGTCTAAGTTGGCCTTTGTTTGCTATTTTATTGAACTGCCCTAAAAATCAACCTTGATGCCACAGTTCAATTAAACACATTATATAGGGTTAATTACGCAAATGATCCTGAACTTTACCTTCAATCTCACTTTGATCTCTAACTTTTAAAATGTCCTATTTTTTGTACCAAATCTATCACTTTGTTTCAATTTCGGTCCCCCTATTCCACAAATAATGCCTAATATATTATCCGTAGTAGTTTTAAATTCCCTCTTCTTTTCTGAGTGTGTTTAGATTTTATATATTTTTGTACTCAGCTTAAAAAAATAAACAAACAAATAAAATTTGTTACGCGTTCTTTGATCTGTGCATACGTGTAAGATCTGTATATTGTTGTTTTCACCTATGGCCGACCAATTCACTAATCACATTTTATAACTCGCAGTTTGGATGAGCTCCAAGAAGGCTTAAATGCACTTCGTGAGGTTCTAGAACTCGATTTACCAGAGTTGCAAAAGACTAAGCCAAAAGATATCCCTCCATCTGCTTCTGACACGTGTGACCGTTGTGGGAGAAACTTGTATGCTTCTACAGACAAAGATGTCTAAGTGGCATGGGAATTTTCATTTCTATATAAAGACAATTACACAGTATTTTTTTAGGTTTTTCTCTTGCCAATAATATGGGAATTCAATCCTCATGAGTAGCTTTTCATTTTTCCCTATTTTTATATGATTTAATTTTATAAGCTTAAGATATATGCATATTCATCTCAATCTACTGCTAGTATCTCAGTGTTGAAGGAATTATCTAGAATTACCTTAAGTCCTTTTTTTTTTTTCAAGTTCACCCTATTTTTTTGGTTCCTTTCTCTATAGTTATATTCTAAAACTAAAAGCACTTTCTTCCTCATCCTCCTCCTCCTTTTTGGGTTGCTAAAGTTGTATCTCTAGCTGAGTCAGCATTAATATCACACTGCGTTAGTTGACGTTCGTGTTTAGAAAAAAATAGAGAATTTATTTTTAAAAGTATACGAGTCTGAATTTTTATCTCTTATTTTTAATAAATATATTTTTATTAGTGTAATTATTTGACTAAAAATGTTATGAATTAAGAGTAAAAAGTAAAAATTTTAACTTATGCACGTTTAAAGGATATTTGTCAAGATTACTCTCGTGTTTATATCGATATAGAAGCATAAAGAGAATTGTGGTTTGGCTTTTCATTTGGCCCTTATAATGTGCTGAATATAATTCTCAGCTTCGAGTTTTTCCAGTTTAATTAATCTTAAGCCAGTAATTACATGTTCCTCAAAGTGGTGAAGAGGTCCTATAACGGATAGGGTCTTCACATGAGTTCTTTTTTTCTTTTTCTGTTTTTTTGGGCCCCCTTTTTCTTTCAGTGTCTAAAAATCGCGATAAACCTCATATTCTACATATGCAATTAGGATCCATGCAACTTTGCATTCTCCATTCCTTTCCTAGGCGTTTATGGTATTTTTCCCCCTCTTTGATCTCCAAATATGGTCCCTTGGTGTTTTGGAGGGAGGACTTAATACATAAATTTTTAAACTTAGGAAAAATTACATGGGAAAAATGAAAATCCTACTAGGTCAAATGTCTCAGAATCGTTAGATTTTCAATCATTTTTTTATCTATATATTTTTAGTGGATTATGATTCTTCTAATTTTTTTCTTTTCGTGTTAAAAAATGTATCCCGTCAATTGGATCTACGTCAATTAAAGATAACATCTCCACCAATTAAAAGATGACACATAGAGCTGTAAGTTTAGACTGGGTAAAACGGGCCGGCTCGGAGGGTCAAGATTTTGAGCCCAAACACTCTCTTTTTAAAGATATATTTATTTATTTTTTTTAAAAATGCCTTATAAAATTTCAGGCGGGACGGGCCGATTCTAAGCCTTTCAAGCTTTAAGATCGGACTGAGCTATCCCTCTCTCATTTAGGATCGGGCCATGCCAAAATTTCTACGGAAATAGTAGAAAATAGGCCAATATGAAAAGCTTAAGAAAGTATATAGGTCAATTTTTAGTTATAGAAATTAATAGGCCATAACTTGTCAAGTTATGGTTCATAACCAGATAAGTTATGGACAAACTTGTTAAGTTATGGTTCATAGCCAGACAAGTTATGGATAAAAACCGTGAATTATGGACAATAACTTGTCAAGTTATAGTTTATAACCAGACAAGTTATGGACAAAAACAGTAATTTGGCCTATTTATTAACTTATGTAAACTATTAGCCTATTAATTTTAATTCATTTTAAATCTTGACCTATTTTCCTCTTTCTTCCAAATTTTTATATGGCCCATTGAGCCCGGACTCGAGCCGGGTCTTATCAGTCCAAACTTTCACCGATAGCTACATACGTTCCTATTTCCTATATTCTATTTTTCACATAAGCGTTTCAAGAAGCACCCTGGAAACAACGAGTGGGACGCATGCACATTCAATCTCTATCTCTCCTCTCCCTGTAGGGGGGATCTACACACGTGAGACCACAGGACGTGATATTACGTGCCATATTTAGGTTCTCATGTGGTTTCTTTCGTTTTTCCTTTTTCTTTTTTCCACCAATAAATGAAAGCAATGATAGATGAATGGCTAACCAAATTAAGGTTATCTTTATAGCTCATGATATGATCTAGAAATAATTCTGCTCCAATCTAATAATGCATTTTAAAATTCTTCCTCCTCTCTTTTCCATTGATTTTGGTGGAATTCTGAAAACCTTGTCATACATGTGTTTCTTTATTTCGTTAATTCATTATTGAGGGAGACATGGTGGAGACACAATAATGCAAAACTTTTGGTGGTTATGTAATTAATTATATATAGCAAGAGACGGGCTCTTTCTCTCTCTTTTCTTAAGTTTTTATATATATATGATGTTGATACAGATGGATTATATAAAGCTTTGAGGCAAAAAAAAAAAAAAAAAAAGCCCACCCTCTTATTAAATTTGGGACAAAGTCTCTAGACTCCTGTTATAAGAAGCTTAGCTGGATTTCATTTCTGTATTTTGGAGTAGTTGTTGGAAAAAGCTTAGCTGTTCATGATGACTATCATAATTGTGAGGACTTTCTTACCCTGCGTCCAATAGACAACCAAATAAGTTCTAAAGTATTCATTAATGTCTTTTACTTCTATTAAGATATTTCTATATATATATATATATATACATTGATTATATTGTTAGACGACATTCAGATACATTTTATGGAATATATTAGTAAATTGGCTCAGCAATCAGTGGAAAATCTCTAGTCTCTGTCTCAACTCTCATCGTGAAAATTATATCTTTCTCATCGTGAAAATTAATTCTTTCTTGTGCTCTTGTGGCTATGTACTTATTAGCTTAGTGGAGGTGCGTGGTCAATTCATGAATCATATTGGTCACTTTATTTCCTATCCAAAATAGAAAAAAGAAAAATAAAATCTCTCTCTCTCTCTCTCACTAACTCTACGTGCCATAATTAAAGCAGGACAATATGATAATTTACATGAAGCTTAGACTATCAAATTGACCCAAAATTCCAAATACAATACAAAAGTTCTCAAATGATTTTGCATAATGTGTTGTGTTGGGGCTATGAATGCCTTAGTTGACTATCAAACTGACGTTGGAGGATATTTATATAGGAATTAGTGAAAGGCCGTGGTAAAATGGTGGGGTATGTTTTATGAGTGTGAAACTACTCTTCACGGGACATTTTATGCTTGTTAACAGTAAAAAAGAATAAACATGTCAGTTTTGTGGGCTAGACAGGCAATAATGACACTGTAGTATAAAGGCCAGAAAACTTTTTTATTTTTATTTTTTTAGCTTCTTTATACGAGAGAGAGTGTGTTTCTAACAATTATTAAATAAAAAATAAAAAGAAGAGAGAAAAAAAAATATAATATAATTTGACAATGTGGAATAAAATTCATTAATAACAAGTACTATAAATGAGCTCCACATTAATACAAGTTACATTAATCACATAGTTGGCAAGTTATCGGCGATAAAAATCGAAAAGATTCTTAAAATGAAAATCACTACAAATTAAACCAAAACCATTAATAAAAGCAACAGTATAATAGGTTAATTTTTTGAGACTTTCTGCAGTAGGCCGATCTACTGATAGTATCAGTTTCTCATCGTTAAATCTTATTAAAATCACATTAGATTGAAAAGATACGCATAATAAATAGTTTTTAATACAAATCAAACGGCTTGAAAGTAGAGAAATACTGATAGTTTAAATTTTTTGTCAAATTTTCTGCTTTTTTCAATTTTAGTTATTATATCAATTTTTTATTATTTATTTATTTATTTATTTTTTGCTGCTTCATGCTACGGTTGTTTCTGCAGATTTGGTGGATAATGGATAGTATGTGTGCGCGCGTGCATGTGTACATTGTATCGGTGGATATATGGATAATGGCCACGAATTGTTGATATTTAGATTAAAGATTCTTTTGATTGGGTTTGTCGCATATTGCTAAAGAACGGAATGAACATGATGCATAAAATTGACTAGTAGAATAATAGAACTTACAATCTAATATATGTAGTGGCATGCGCTGTAGTTGTCGCAGAAATTAAACATGCATATTATGAAAAAGAAAAATAATAATTTGACATAATAAAAGAGTCAAAACTCTTTTCTATGTGGTAGCCCATTCACTTATGTCTTTTTTATTATTTTTTATTTATTTTTTGTAAATTTTTGTAAATTTTAATTTTTTATGTGTTTTTAAAAATATATTGTTCCTCACTTTACTTTTATGAAAATAATTTTTTCGCATGTGTTCGTATTTTATTTTTGATTAGTTAAAATAATTTTTTCAAATGTGACTTTGCTTAATTTTTTTTGTCAATTGTTAATTATAAATTTAAAAATCGTTAAATGATTGTATAAATAAATTTTTTATTATTTGGTAAACAATAAACTTTTTATGTATCTCTAACATGGCAATACGTGCAGAACACATTATAAAATTAATAATAAATAAAAAGACTTGTTTCTTATGTTTATGAGATTGATTTTTTTTTTTTTAAGAAAAAGTAAATTTTATGACAAAAGACAGTATAAAACATGTAAATGCAATTTTGATCAAGAAACTTTGTTTTCATGCCTTGCCGAAATCTTTTGATTTTTCTATATAATTAATTTATTAACTAAGCAAAATGTAATTTTCCAACTGGTGATCAAACAGTCGATATATATGCACAAGAGTTGATGAGTTGAAAATCCACGAAGTTCTTTTGGACACATTTAATTGGACCTAACTTCAGACTGTTTTGTTTATACATATATATATATATATATATATACACACACACACACATAAATATATATACACACACATATATAACATTTTGAAAAAATGATGTGGTCCTTTGAAGTTCCACGAATAACTGGGAAGCATCACAAACCCTAGTATAATTCTTTTTTATACTCAAATGAAAAAGTAGTACAAATAATTGGAAGTGATGTAAGTGTGTATTTCCATCTTTACAAGAAAGAGATAAAATTCATTATCTAGAATACTTATGAAAGTATTTTTACCTACTACAAGTTTTGGAGGCTGAAACTCTTCATACGTGTTGGAATAAGAGAAGTTGCACCTAGCTAGCATTTATTAGTATAATTTCCTTCTAACTTTATGGGCTCAAGTTGCTCAAGGGAACATAGGAAAAAAA